TGGCTAATGAACTGTTTAGTTCTCATAGAACACAGTACGATCATCCAGCTAACAGCTAGTGGCCTGGGGCCTAAGCTTACTGAGCCGGCAGGGCAAGCCTTTATGATATAAGGCCTTGAGGTAGAGGGCAAGCTAGTGGAACTCAAGACTGAGCCTTTGTTCAGGAGACCTGAATTCTAGCCCCAGCTCTGACACTAAGTGGCTACGTGATTTGGGGTGAGTCACTTCACTTCTACAGATGAAAACATTTCCATCTATAAAAATCACACCCATTTTCCCATGCCTTTTCTATTACAGTAAAGATTAGCCCTGATTTGCAAAGACAAGCAAAAGTCTCCACAGAAAAATGAAAATAATTATGCTATTTGCATGTGGCTAAAAGGGGCAGCTGCCCAGGGACTTTTGCCTAACTTTATCCCGAATGGACTGTCTCCTAGCTGAATGTCACAGGCTGTTAGGGCTGGAAGAGAACAGAGGTATAACTGCTGACATATGTATAATACTTCAAGCACTGGACATTTATTCTCACACTTAATCATCTAGTCCAGTTATTTTACAGATGAGGAAAAAGAGGTTCAGTGAGAAGCTACTTACTCAAGTTCCTCGAGATGGGGGCAGAGCCAGCATGAGAGCTCAGGTCTCCTGACTCCAAGTTCTGGCATCTATCCACAATACTGTAAGGGTCCCCTGTTTTGAAGGATGCTGAGATGGGTAGAACTGGAGATTTAGTGAGGTAGGGGAGGAACTCCATAGAAGTCAGTGTAGTTTCAAAAAGGGGTACTGTACCCATTGAGCTAGGCTGAGGGCAGCCCAGGAAGCTGGACAGATCTAGTCTCCTACCACATCCAAAAAGTGTTTCTCTGAGCTGTGATAAGAACCTCAGAGAAACGTAGTGGCTGGAGGCCCAATTCTAACAGCAAGATGGAGTGGAAAATATTTGCTACAGAAAGGAGTAAGTGCTGAGGAGTGTGACAAGAAGTAAAGCAGATTCTAAACATGAAAACTGGCCTAGTGCCAGGGTAGCCTAAACACCATCCACCTTTTAAGACTTCAGAGACAATATGGTAGAATGAAGAACGTGCTTTCCTGAATTTGGGAAGCCTGGGTTCTTGGCATAGCTCTACCCATTAATGGATAGCTCTATCACATTAGACTCAGTGGTTAGAGCACTGGGCCTGAAGGTGGGAAGCCCTAAGTTCAGATCAGGCCTCAGATATTTACCAGTTGCATGACCCTGGCCAAGTTTCACTTAACCTGTCTGCCTCAGTCTCTTCAGTGGTAAAATGGGAATAATAATAGTAACTTTCTCCCAGGGTTGTTGTAAGGATTAAACAAGATAATATTTATAAAGGGCTCAGCACAATGCTTGATATATTCCAGGTACTTAATAAATGCTTATTTCTTTCCTTCTTTTTCTGAGCCTCAGTTTCTCCATCTTTAAAATGAGGAAGTTGGATTGAAAAAAGGTCTCTTCATCTTCTAAAATTCTGTGGAAAGAACAGTCTGGGAGCCTGACCTTAAACCCCCTTGAATGACTGTGGGCAAAGCCCTTCACCTTGCTGGGCAGGTGTCCTGCTATCATCTACCCCATTCCCCAGCCTCCACCCCATCAAATAGGGACAACTTTCCAGTCCTTCCAATGGAGTTGCAATACCTCTGGATTCGGAGTCAGAAGGGGTGCAAATCTGGCTCTGACACTAACTAACTGTGAGCCCTTAGACAAGATACTTCAACTCTCTGGGTCTCAGGTTTCTTACCTACAACAACCAGAAGATCTCTAAGTAAGATACTGGACCATTTTAAATGCTGTGATCCTCTGACTAGCCCCACAGAGCAGCTGTGAAATAGAAGAAAAGACTTGAACCTTAGAGAGACCAGTGGTGTCAGAGAAAGCCATGAAAACCAGGCCCTCTGATGCCTGTGGCCAGGCCAGAGCTCACAGGGCTCCATGCAACTACGTCCTTTCCTCAGGAGCATGGATCATGCCCTCACTGTGTGTTAGCTGGGGCTGTTTTAATGGAGAAAATGGATTTCAGAAAACAGGGCCTTGGGGAACATTTACATAATTGAAAAGTAATGTAAATTATTTCCATAAGATTTACAATATGGTTACAATAAAAAATAGTGCTTTGGTCCCTTTAGAGACAGGCTGTATAAATATTATTACTAATGATTATCAAAAATAATTAAATGTGTTTTTAAAATCAAGAAATTCCAAGTACTAGCCACTGTCCACTCAGCAGGAAACAGGCACTTCAAATAGAGGGGCTGGCTCAGAGCTCTAGAGCCTGGGCAGGGGATGAAAGAGCCTGGGGGTTAGTACATTTCGAGGCAGGGGAGAAGCAGCAGCTGTGGCCTTGGCCCCCTAGAAACTAGGTCTAGTGGCCCAGCCTGCCGATGAGTCAGCCCACCAGCCCCGGGGAAGTCACACTACCCTGATCAATGTCCCCATTCAAGTCAGGAGGCTTAAAGGTGAACCTGAGTTCTTGGTGATGTATAATGCTTCAAATGTTCCAGCCCCCTGCTCATCTGCTTATAGAAACCCAAACTGTTCAAGTCCACACTTCTTACAGATGACGCCCAGAGAGGAAAAGTGATCTGTCTAAGATCACACAGCTTGTAAGTGGCAGAACCAGAATTCAAACTCAGATCTTGTTCCTCCAAGACCAGTGCTCTTTCCACTATGCCACGTGTTTAAAGAAATGAAAATCTCCCTGGGGCTACCCTCAGGTAGCCGATCCACTGTCTCTCTAGAGTTCCCATATCTAAAGTGGTTTTCCCCAACCACTGATCCATACATCATCTCTGTCTATGGGGACTTTCTCCTGGTCTAACAAACCTCTGATGATAAAGATGATAACAACATTTATAAAGCACTTTAAGGTTTACAAAACACTTTCCATACATTATCTCATTTGATCATCCTAATAACTTTAAGATGTAGGTGCTCTTATTATCCCCATTTTACAGATAAGGAAACTGAGGTAAACAAAGGTTAAGTGACTTGACCAAGGTCACATAGCTACTAAGTGTCTAGGGTAGAATTCAAATTCAGGTCTTTCTGACTCCAAGTCCAGCGCTTTACCCATCCAGCTCTCTTTACTACCAAAGGTCTTTACATCTTAAAGCTTACAAAAGATTTTAAAGTAGCTCTTCCTTCTCATTTTCTTCTCTCCATCCTGTCGCTACCACCCCAAATCTCTTCCTTCTCCCTAAATCTTGCTCCCTACTTTCTGATTGCTGAGGCTGTGATAGACAGAGGGGCCCGAGGAAGAGAATGTGAAGTGTCGGTCACTGTCTCGAGGGTAGTGTGGATTGAGAAACACTGATTTAGTAAACAATAGGAAACCTGACTCAGCAGGGGATAGGAAGAGCCAGGTGTCTGGGGCGAAAGAAAGGAAGAGAGAGCCAAGAGAAGACTTCAGAAGAACACTTGTCATTGGGGATAAGAACATAGCGGGGAGAACACTGAACTGATGATTCAGTTCCAAGAATCCAGGGCTCTTGTCCTGCATCTACAGCCAATTTGGTCTGAGAACCCAGGGAAGTTTCCCCAGGGCTCAGTTTCCTCATCTGTCAGACGAGGAAGCTGGACTATATCATCTCTAAGGTCCTTTGCAGGTCTGTGACCCTATGATTCTGTGTTAGTTCTAAAGTCCCTTCCAGTGCTAAAAGTCCTACGATCCTACAGCCCAAGAAAGGAAATTCTTCATGGAGGTAGGGCGGTACCGTTTTCTGTCTATTAGAAGCCACTGGAGAATTATCAGCAAACTGTCTGGGAAGAAACTCAGTCTTTATAGCAGGGACCCCCAATAAGTCAACTATAATTCACTGGGTGATCTTTAAAATGATATCTGGTTATCAGCCCTAGTAGGCAACTTGTACCATCGGCTAACCCCTATTCCAGTATCTGTCACCATCATGACACCAAAAAAAAAAAAGCTGGCATTTACATAATGCTTTAAGATTTATAAGCATTTTACATGTATTAGCTCAATTGTCCCTCAAATTGATAGTAGTTAGAGAGCTGGCCTTGGAGTTAAAAAGACTTGAGTTCGAATCCTGACGCTGACAGATAATGTGGTTATGATCCTGGGCACTTAACCTGCCAGTGCCCCCAGGCAACTTTGTAAGACTATAAACTACAGAGCAGGTACCTTTCTGCACTGGCAGAGGCAGTTAACTCCCTGGGAACTCCTACACAAATAAAATTGCATGGTTAGGTTGAAGTAAAAAAAAACCTACAACAGCAACCACAAAATGTAACCGTACAGGATAAATATCTAAGGCCATATTATCCCAGTCTATGATTGAGGCTCAGAGAGGTTAAGCAATTCTCCCTAGCAGAATGGAAGCTCCCTGGGGGTAGGGATTATTTTTCACTGCTTCTTTGGAGCCCCAACACTTCCTGCACTTCTCTGAACATAGCAGGTGCTAAAAAGATAGCCACTGAACCGAACTGAATTTGCCTATGATCACATAGGGAAGAGTTAAGGGAAGAGATGCAAACCCAGGTGTCTCCTGACTGATTTTGGCTCCAATCCCATGACGCCACGCTGTCTTACTTAATACTTCAGGGAAGTCAAGAGTAGTAGGAAAACATTGGGCATCCTTTACAGACTTGGAATTATAAATCAATACCTATCAAGTAACAGAAAATACAGGATCACAGAATTCAGAGCCAGAAGGAACCTAGCCCAGCCCTCCTCGTTTTATGGTTAAGTAACTGAAGGCCCGAGAGAAGTGGCTTAACCAAGCTCCATCAGAGAGTAATCAGAAGAAATGGCATTTGAATCCACATCCTCCAGCCTCAAGTCCAGCGTTCTTCCTACAACTCCATGGCTGCCATGAACCTCATTAAAACATAAAGGCTGGAGCAAACAGTGACCAGATGACTGGTACTACCTCTGTCTTGCCCTGATGTTGGTCTCTATGGCCACCATCACTCACACTCTAGCATAAAAGTGAGGGAAGAGGGCACACAAAGCATCTAGACTTACCGGGAAGCCAGGGTCTCCCTTCTGCCCCGGAGGTCCCAACAGCAATGGGAACAAGGTGGGCCTGATCGGGTCAAAGAACAGGTAACCATCTGTGTGAATGAGGGTGACGGCACCCACGAACTGGGAGCTGGAGACGGGGCGCTGCGTGAGAACCGTGGCAGCCATACGACTGAGCTGAGCCTGTTTGGGGATGGGCTGGGCAGTCAGATTCTTCAGGCCTGAAGGGAAGGAGACAGTACTAGGTGGATCTCCAGCCTTCCTAGGGCTGGGATGGCTGGGTGGCCAGGGGGTACTCTTTGGAGTCGATTTCTTCTTCACAGTGGACTCAGCCACCCTCTTGCTGTCAGTGGAATTGAGACCAGGAGGAGAGCCTGGGTAGAAGGTAGGAGGTATTGTTCTGGGCAATTTGATCCCCGTGGTAGGAAACACTGGTTTCACAGGGGGCCTAGGGGTCTGGGCTAGGCTAGAACCTGAGGTTGGCAAGGATGGCTTAATTGAAGGTTGGGTCAGCTTGGCTGTACCAGTATAAGCCAACACTGGCTTGCTGGTAGAAGGAAGGTTTCTGGCCATATTGACTCTGGAGCCCTGGGACACTGTCTTGGTGGTGACAGGAGGGGAGGACCGTACAGCAGGAAGCACTGGCCTGGCGGTGGGAAAAGGAGCTTTGGCTGTTGCAGAGTTCTGAAGTATGGGCTTCATTGGAGGAGGAGGCAGGGCTTTGGCAGGGATGAGGTGGGAGCCAAGGGGCACTGGCTTCATGGTGGAAGGGAAGCTCTTAGATGGAGAGGTCAGCACTGGCTTGACCATAGCATGGGGCCTCTTAACCGGGACCACAGTGACAGAAGGAGTTACTGGCTTAATAGGAATATAGGGAGTCTTAACCACACTGGCTTTGGATGTGGGCGGCACAGGCGTCATGGCAGGAATGGGAGGTTTGGTGGAGCTGCTCTGAGAGGTGGTCAGTGCAGGCCTGAGCACAGAGGAGGAAGCTTTGCCTGAAGACAAAGGCAATGGCTTTGCAGTCACTGGTACGGTCCAGACCAGACTACTCATTGGGGTGGATCGGGATGACCGAGGATCCACAGTGCTAGTCCTCATAGGTTGGCGGGGGGGCACTACCAACCCAGGGCTGGTCGGTGCTGAAGGCACCACTGTTATCTTGGCACCTTTGCCTGGTGCTCTGGGCAAGGCCTGGGTAGTCTTGGCGATTCGAAGGGATGCCAGTGGAGGCATCACAGTGGTCAGGTTCCTCAGGCTCTGCAGAGAGGTGTCAGTCTGGAGGCCAAGGTGGACATTGGCATCGGGGTCCTGGGGAAGGAGGGGAAGGAGTGGAGGCAAGAGTGGCCGGTATGTGTCAGCCTGTCTGCACTGCTTCTTCAGATATTTACAGTAATTATGAGCTGCCTTGGCAGAAGGATAAATATTGAACTGGCACACTGCACCCTCAAACTGGACTGAGTGTTGATTCATCTTCCCAAAGAGGAAAGACCCCTCAGGATCAAGAGATTCATCTTTTTTAAAATGCAAATCCATGGATATCTGGTGCTTCCCACAGGAAGTAATGAGGGTGACCACCTGACCTCGGATCCTGATGGCCAAGTGGTGCCACCGCCCATCATGCACATCATAACTGAAGGCCAGGGAGCGCCGCTGGCCCAAGTAGAGGACGATCTTGCCGGGAATGAACTGAACACCCAACTGCAACTTCTTCCTGCTGCTCCGGACAGCAAAGAGGAAGGCATTATTGACACGGTGGGAACAAAGGCTCAGCACCAAGGTCAGCTCAGTGCCAAAGGCGGCAGGAATGATGGCTCGGGTGGGGGCTTCGATGCGGGTCCGCTGGGTGAAGATGAATCCTGACTGGAACGGGATGACTCCTGGAGGGACGGGGGCCAGCCCCGGGGCCCGTCCACCAGCTGACTTCTTCCCACTGAGGCCCAGCCGTTGGAGGACATCCACATCTAGGGGGTGGGGAACAAGACGAGCCAGTTACAGCCTTGGGGAAATACACCAACCTTATTAACGATCATAATAATAACAATGATAGCTAGTATTCAAGTAGCACTTTAATGTCCACAAAATGCTTTACAAATAGTTCACTTTAATCCTATGACAACCATGGAAGATAGGTGCCACTATCATACCTATTACACAAATAAGGAAACTGAGGCAAACAGAAGTTAAGTGACCTCCCCAGGGTCACAAGAGCTAGTAAGTATCTGAGGCCAGATTTGAACTCAGGTATTTCTGACTCTGAATACAACCTCTATCCACTGCACAATGGGGATGGATCCTAAACCACTAACCCATTGCCCTGTTTTTGTTAAGACTATTTCCACTCATCTGAATTTTGCCCTTCAGTCAAAGCTCAGCTCAAGTCCCACTTCCCCTTCCTGTGGAACCTTCCCAGCCCACCTCCTACTGATGATCATGAGATGATGAGATCACAGATCTAAAGTTGAGAGGGAAGTCATTTAATCTAACCCCCTCATTTTACAAATGAGGAAACTGAGGCCCAGAAAGATGAAGTAACTTGCCCAAGCTCACACAGATAAGAAGCAGCAGGTACAAGATGTGAACATGGGTTCTCTGATTCCAAATCTAGCGCCCTGACCACTGCACCACACAGCTTTATTTAGCCTAGAAAAGAGGGGCAATATAAGAGCTGTCTTCAAACGTCAGAACAGCTTCTGAAACAATTATTGTCATAACGAAGATGAAGAAGATCCCCTGTATGGCCCAAAGTTTCCAAATAGGAAAAGGGCTTCCTTGTAAGGGAGCAAGCTCCCATCACTCAGAGCTTCCAAGCAGAGGCTCGCTAGCCCCCATCAGAGGAGCTGTAGATACACTATGGAAGCACAGGGAGGGGGCTAGATTTAGACAACCCCTACGGTCTCTCAAGATTCAGTGTGATCTGATGAGACTTGGCTGAGACAATGTCCCGAGGTCTCCAGGAAGGCACCAATTGTGAAAATCACACAGGGAGAAAGGATTTCTTCTCAACCTACTGAACTTTCAAATGTAACTGTCTATGGGGAAGAGGCAGTCTAGGTTTCCTCCTGAACTCTGTCCTCTGGCCAGAGCTTAGAGTTTGGACAACTGACCATGAGCCAAGAAAGGCCACATCCGCCCAGTAATTACCAGCATGGAATTTGATGGACCAAAAGAAACAAGTACCCAAAAAAAAAGCTTCCCAAATGTGTTCATATAAGATCCTCCAAGCCTCTCTCCTTGCTTCTGCTTCGGCCTTTTGCACCCTGAAGCCACTGAGTTGAGTGAATTGGTATCTGGGGAACCAGCAATGAGGAGGTGGGTTCCTAAGTCCTGGTCAGATGGGGATAAATCACTGAGCTGGGTGGGTCTGAGACTTAAAATCGCCAGCTGGACAAATGGGGGACTTTTGGCACCCCGGGTAAGCAAGCCTGAAATGAATTCCTCTGCATTCCTAAGTCTCCCCCAATGCCATCCATTCCCCTTCTCTTTAAGGCAACTCTGAGTCCCCCAAAATCTGAGGGACCAGGTAGAAGTAAAACGCTCATTCACTTCTCTCCTTTTCAGCTGGCAAAATGAAAAGAGATGGGAGTGAGGAAACCTGGGTTCAAGTTCAGAAAAGAGAAATTTGGAAGGAGTAAAAGGTTATTGCAGTCCATGCAATGGGAGGGAAGAGGGTGTTGGAGTGAAGGGGGAAGTTATACAATGTGTATGCCATCTCTCATATCTCTCCTAAGATCTAATTACAGAATGTTAGATCAGGAAGGAACCCTAGAACACAATCATTTATAGCTGGAAGGAGTCTTAGAACACAGAATGTGAGAAAGGAGAGAGACTTTGGAACACAGAAGATTAAGCCAGAAGGGACCTTAGCATGCAGACTGATGTATGTCTGGAGGGGAACTTAGAACCCAGAATACTAGAGCTGGAACGAACCTTAGGATATGGAATGTCAGAACTAGAAGGAGCCTTAGAACATAGAATGTTAGAGCTAGAACATAGGCTGTTAGAACATAGAACATTAGAAAGTCAGAGTTGGAAGAGACAAAAGACCTTGAAAAGTTAAAATGAGAAGGGTCCATAGAACACAGAATGTCAAAGCTGGAAGAAGTCATTGAAAGCAGAGTATCAGGACTGCAAAGGACCTCGGAGATTATTGAGTCCAGCTCCCTTATTTTACAAACAAGGAAACTGAGCCCCTAGAGGGCAAGTGACTTTCAAAATAAAAATAATGATGATGATGATGATGATGATGATGATGATGATGATGATGATGATGATAACAATGACATTTTGTGCTCACAGCAGCCGTGAGGGGTAGTTGCTATTTTTATCCCCAGGGTCACAGAGTAGGTATCGGAGGCAGCTGATGGTGCAATGGATAGAGTTCTGGACCTGGAGTCAGGAAAACCTGAGTTCAAACTCTGCCTCTGATATTTACTAGCTGTGTGACCTGGACAAGTCACTTGTTTGCCTCACTTTCCTCATCTATAAAATGGGAATGATAATAGCACCTACCTCCCAAGGTTGTTGTGAGAATCAAATGGGATAATATTCGTTAAGTGCTTAGCACAGTGAATATTAGCTATGACTATTGTTATTGGTGCAATGAATCGCGTGCTGGGCCTGGAGTCAGGAAGACTCATCTTCCTGAGTTCAAATCTGGCCTCAGATACTTCCTAGCTGTGTGACCCTGGGCAAGTCAGTTTGTCTCAGTTCCTCATCTATAAAATGAGCTGGAGAAGGAAATGGCAAAGCACTCTAGTACTTTTGCCAAGAAAACCCCAAATGAGGTCACAAAGAGTCAGACTAGGACTGAAAAAAGACTGAACAAAGGCAACATTATTGTTACTATTATTACTCTTTGAACTCAGTTCTTCCACTGTGCCACCTAGCTGCCTCAAAAATTGGGACTTAAAACTCAGAGTTCCTGACGCCCATTCAGAGTCGATCCCTCGGTCTTGTTCTGTACAAGAGCCATGACAGTACCAATGAAAGAACAGCTGGTCATCTGGGGGGGGCAGGGATGAGACGGAAAGAGATATGGGTCAAAGGTGGGGGGTGGGGAAAGAGAATAAAGGGGAGAAAATCAGTAAGAACAGGCCAAGTGGCTGAGATGGGAGAACTGAGCCAATCCAACTGAGCTCTCCAGCTGGAAGGCTAGATGCCTTTATTACATAAACCATGCTCCAAAAACATCCCTCCTCTGCTCCTACTCCCCCCCCCCAAGTGCCTGACTCAGGGCTCTGGACAGCTGTTCACCTACTTTGCAGGGGAGGTGGGGGTGCGGAGGAGGGGGAAGCAAGTTTGGAAAATATGACATTTGCAAAAAAGCATTGCTGGATGGTCTTGCTGGGCTTTGCCCCACCCCCATCCCCTCTCTGAAGCTAGGTTATTGCTAAGGCAAAGACTAGGCCTGGAAGCTTCCCTCCATCCCCAATTCTAGGGTCCCTGGATTATAATCCAGGCTGTTATCCCCTTCTGCCCCTTTTGTCTGCCCTTAAAGCAATGGCTAGGGAGAAAGAGGTGTTGCTATTTTAAGAACAAGTAGGTGGCTGCCTGACAAACAGATGTGGGAGAGAGATGTTTCAGTTTTCGTGATCCAGACATGGAGAGTCACCTACACCCTCCCCTCTCCCAAGAGGATCCCCTGGCCCTAGGTGGAAGAACCCTAGCAAGTAATGAGAGGTGAGGAGGCTTGTGAGGCCCAGCAGAGGACAAGCGAGCTCTCTGGGCCCAGGAGTCCTAACCCTAACTGTGCCATGAATGAATGGTCTAGGGATCTTACTAACCGTTTCTGGGGTGTGGCTTCCTTCTCTGCCACCCTGACTGTCAAGTCTCTTCTATTAGCCCACACTGCCTCCCTTATCAAGCCCTCCTCTGGGTACCCACCAAGAAAATATCCTAATTTATTTACCCCTAATTTATTCTCCCATCTCTACCTCACTCCAGTTTTCCACATACCAAGCTCATTTCCTCCCACTCTGACCCAGGGGTCAGGGAGCCTGGCCTCCAATTCTGAGGCTGTCAGTACCAAGCTCTATAAACTTGGTGCAGAGGAAAGAGCTTAGGCTCTGGAGTCGTAGGACCTGGGTGTGGTATCTGAGCCTGGATCCCCTGACTCTACACTCAGGTGCTCCCTCCACTGTGACAAGGGGATGCTTACAACAGATGCTTACAACTTGGCCAAATCATTTAACCTCTCTGTTCCTCAGATTCCTCATCAGTAAAATGATGGGGAGCTAGTAGATAGAGCACCCAGCTTGAGTCAGGAAGACTCACCTTCATAAGTCTAAATTTGGCCTCAGACACTTACTAAGCTGTGTGATCCTAGGCAGGTCACTTAACCTTGTTTGCCTCAGTTTCCTCTTCTGTAAAATGAGCTGGAGAAGGAAATGGTAAACCGCTCCAGTGTCTTCACCAAGAAAATCCCAAATGGGGCTGTGAAGAGTCAGATACAACTAAAAACGACTGAACAATGATAAAAAATGGGGAGGGGGCATTGGACTTGATGACCTTTGAGGTCCCTTCTAACTCTAGATCAACGGTTCTGAATCTGGGGTCCATGAACTTAGACATGAAATCACTTAAATCTTTATTTTGACTAACCTCTAACTGAAATTTAGCATTTCCTTTCAATATGAATATAGGCAACAAACACTGCCCTGAGAAGGGCTCCATAGTCTCCACCAGACTGCTGAAGGGGTCCACAGCACAAAACAAGGCTAAGCTGTAGATCTGTGTTGCTTCCTTTAAGTCCCATCAAAAATCCCACCTTCTACCAGAAGCCTTCCCCAATCCTTCTTAATTCCAGTGCCTTCTCTCTGTTCATTATTTCCTATTTATCCTGTATGTAATTTGTTTAGTTGTCTCTCCCATTAGATTGTAAGTTTCACAAGAGCAGGGACTGTCTTTGGTCTCTTTTTATATGCCCAGAACTTAGTGCAGGGCCTGGCACATAGTAGCGGCTTAATAAAGATTGATTAATTAATTGATTGATTCAACAATCTTAGACAAGTCACATAATCCTTCTGCACCTACTTATTGATTTATTTCTAATCTTTCAAGTGAGGTTAATAATACTTGCCCTGCCTGCTTCACAGGGGTACATGTACTGTTTATATATACTATAAAGGAAGTGTGGCATAGTCAATGGAGAGCCGGCTTTGAGGTCAGTAAGATCTGGCTTCAAGCCCTACCTCTGACACATCCTGGCACTGTGTCTCCAGGCAGCTGTCTATGATGCTAAGATTCAGAGAAAGTGCCTATCAGCACTGACGGGGGAAGCTCTTCATCAGGAGCTCTCTACACCATGAAAATCACAGGTCTAATAAGTGTCTCTGTGTCTCTGTGTGTGTATGTGTATATATGCTTACATATTAAACATATCTATTAGTCATACCATGGTTTTTAAAAGCTAAAAGGCACAAACTGTTTTTATTATTGCTTATAGCGTTACTTTAAAGCTCCTCATCTTCTTAACCTGTTAATTCTCAGAATCACAACTCGATTCTTTCACAGGTGTATTTCACAGTATTCTTTCACAAAGAATACTGCCCACACATCTGGGTTAGGCTCTCACACCCTCAATATCTCAAAACAAGGTCAATACATATTTTCTAGAATATTGAAATACAGTCAGGGGCAGGAGAGAGGCATAGATTTCTGACATTGCCTTCCGTTCCTTAAAGCTTATCATGATTCTTCCCATTTTACTGGTGTAGAAAACTGAGGCGCTCAAAGGTAAGTCATGATTCAGAGCCTGAGTTTCTCCATCATAGCTCTCAGGGATGATGTTTCCCACCCCTCTTGCTCCCTTTTCCTAAAATAAAATATTTTTAAAAGAGAGAGAGAAAAGTACCTTCAGGATCTCCCTGGGTGAAGGCCAGGCCACAGGTAGAACAGAAGACAATCCAGGCTAAGAGGAATCCCCTATGAATCAGAGAGGGAAAGCAAGAAAGTACACACATCAGTTTCTAGCTCCAGTAACCAGATCCCACTGCCAGGGAGTGCGGTTGAGGGGAGGGAGAAGGGAGTTGGTCAGGACCATCCAAAGCCACAAATGGCCATCTCTCCCAAGCAGTGAAGATAAGAGGACTGACTCAGAATCAGTACCCTTCTGGGAAATAGGGCTTTTGCAGAAGCCGTTACCCAATCCCATCTCCACGAGGGCTGCTCCCACAGACTATGATTATGGCAGCTCGGCCGGAAGCAAGGCTGGTAGACTGTTATTCCTGGGGTTCTTGGGCTCACCTGCCCATTGATAGCAATTGCTCAGTGGTTGGTGTTGAGGGCAAAGGGTTGCTGTCCTCAATGATGGCAATAGGAATCAAGCTGGCAACAGAGCCTAGAGCTTAGGGTGGAGGGTGCTTCTATTCCTGTGTTGTTGGATGAAAGGTCCTGGGCTGTGTCTACCTGAGTCTGAGGGGAGGTAGCAGTTGAAGTGGTAGCAGTGGTTGGACCAACCTGGCATATGCTATGCCTTATCTCTCCCTTGGGACACTTTGCTGCTTCAGCCAAGCTGTTTTTCCTGCCATGGGGGTGGGACCATCCCAAATTCAGTCTCCCACACTGATAATGACTTCGGGGCCAGGCTGGAAGCAGGGCCAGTGGTCTGAGGGACACTGCTAATCCTGGAGTTTGGGGTTTCGGGATCTCACTCCATCTACATAGAATCTAAGGGAAGGTGGCAGTGCTGATTTGCCCGTCTGGCACATGCCAACTTCTGTATTTCAGAGAGCCTTACTGCTTCTTGTGGACAAGAAGGGTTTCACTTTTGTTTTTGTATCTCCAGTGCCTAGCCCAGTGCCCAACACATAGCAGGTGCCTAATCAATCAATCGTTCAATAATCAATCAATCCATCCCACAGCTAACAAATTGATATTTCTAAAACACAAGTCTTATAATTTCTTTCTTTGCATCCCCAGGGCCTACCACAATGTCTAGTACATACTCAGTGCTTGACAACAGATTGGCTGATATAATAAGACTAGGACCTAATTCACAGGCTCTCTCAACTCATTGTTTTGCCCCCAAAATGACGAATTGAAGAGGGCGGAGGAGGAGGAGGAGGCTCCCCTAGAAGACACTGAGAAAAGGCTGGAGACTCAGCTACATACAATCAGCCCATAAACTGATTGTGGAGCAGGCATGGAGGGCACACCCAGACTTACCCTCCCCCACCTCACTTCTTCCAGACTGCCGTGCCTGTTCCTCCTTGCTGGATATAAAGATGCTCTAATGCCTCAAGGCTCCCTGGACACCTGTGCAGGTGACAGCCCCTCTCTACTTCAGTAGACTGACCTCTTACATTTCAGGGGCTGAAGATGGGCAGTGTTCTCCACACAAAGAAGGGGAAGGGATTGCCCTTGATGTATGCTGCTTGAACTTTCACTAAAGATCACTAAGCACCCAATGGTTCCAAATAAAGAAGAAAGAAACAGCCAAGCTCTTCCCAGAGGCATCAGGTGGAAAATCTCAAATCCTCCTCTGGACACTCTGTTTCCAACCTTACAAATCATTTCACTTCACTTTTGCCAAGTGCATTTACACTTAACTTTTCAAAGTCTGTCACATTCATTCCTTCATTGGGTCCTCAGAAAACCCATTGGAGGGAGGTATAGCCAGAGATTATTGTACCCATTTGATGTATGAGGAGACTGAGGACCAAAGAAAAGAAATGACTTATTCAAATAAGTGGAAGAGCCCGGACTAGAGCCAAGGGTTCTTTCCACTGTAGCGTCTCTTACCTTCCTCTCACCTGCCGAGAGACTCTACTGCTCCTGCCTCAGTACCATTCTGGACCAAAAAACAATACAATTCCCAGACCAGGAAGGAGGGCAAACTTGACACTGGGGTCAGTACAGTCTCTTTCCCCAAGCCAGGGACTTCTGATGGATGGTAATGCTGACAGAAGCCCAGGAAAGGGTTCCAGCTGGCCCAGGCCGCTCAGCCTCCACTGCCTGCTCTAAACACAGTTGGCCCTATGACAAAGACCAAAACATTAACGGAAAACACTTTGGCAAGACGACACTGGCATTAGCGGAAAAAGTGAACAGTTTCTCCAAGTGTGGCCAGAGACGGATGGGACTATTAATCCCGACAGGTTCCTCTGCCTGAATTTTTCCATGAGAGCTCTCTGCCCAGGGCCCCTTGAGTACCTCTGAGCCAGGGGAGTCCAGAAAGACACTCTTCCCCACAGGTTCTAGTCCCACCTTCCTCGGCAGACCTCAGCCTTTAGTTTCCAGCCCAAGCCAGCCCTCTACCAGCCAAAAAGAGGCCTGCCTATGTTTGGAATGAGAGAGGGGAAGGAGAATGTTAGCGTTAGCTCTTCCTCTCATCCCTTCACTTCGGCATCTACACTCCCATGGTGAGATGCCAGGGAAGAAATACCAACCAGTTTAGAATCTCTTACCAGTGCTACGGAGGACCTTAGTCCAGTCTCCATATTTTAAAGAGGAAGAAACTGAGGCCTAAAGCAGGCTTCAAAGGGTGTTGAGCCAGAATGAGAACTTCCTGGGCCTCCTGAATTCCAGCTTAGTGCTCTTTTCCCCCATGTTATATCATCCTTCCAATATGGTACAGAGAAAAAAAGCCTGGATTTGGGGTCAGAGTACTTAGGTTCAAATCTTCATTCTTCTACTTGCTGTGTATTCTTGGACAAATCCCATAACATCCCAATACCTCAGTTTCCCCATTTGTCAAATGAGGCAGCTGTACTACATGATCGATGAGGTCCTTTCCAGTTCTAAATCTATGATCCTGCGAACTTTTAAAATTTGACTGACTGAAGGCTAGTATCTTCTCCAGTCCATATGTTCAGGGACAAGAAATACACAAGAAACCGGTTTAAGGTTAACAACAAAGTCCATGGGTGATTTCCTAGAGACGATGTAAGAGCAGCTTAGATTTATATATCACTTTAAAGTCTGCAAAACACTTATGTGTGTACGTGCATGCATATGTGTGTGTGTGTGCATGTGCATACATATATCCTCTATATTGATCTTTATAATAAACCTTTGGACCAGGTGGTTTAAATATCTCAGATGAGGAAACTGAGGCAAGAGAGGTTAAGTGCCCCATAGATTCAGAGGATTTAGAGGTCACAAAGCTGGTAAGTAGGAGAGCTAGAACTCAAACCTGGTCCTTCTACTCCAAAACCCAGTGCTCCCCTTTCAGCCATAGTGAGTTTTCCTCCTCAACGGACCCAGTTTATTACCTATTTAATGTTCAAATGGGGCAGCTAGGTGGCACAAGGTATAGGGTGTCAAGCCTGAAGTCAGGAAGATTCCTCTTCCTGAGATCAAGTCCAGCCTCAGACACTTAATAGCTGTGTGACCCTGGGTAACTCACTTAACCCTGTTTGCCTCAGTTTCCTCATCTCTAAAATGAGCTGGAGAAGGAAATGGCAAACCACTCCAGTGTCTTTGCCAAGAAAACCCCAAATAGGGTTGTGAAGAATCAGATACAACTAAAATGACTAAACAACAATAAAAAATGTTCAACATAGAACTAACTCTTGATTATCTGTTCATAACTTATCCATTATGTGAATCGCCAAACTGGCAATGTTTTCATCCAAGCTTGGCTTTCTCCAGCCCCAAGCACACTTCAGGGTTGCCTCCCCTGGAGACCAGCCAGTGCATTCTCAGGAAATGTAAACTTGCTTTCAGATTAGTTCAAGCCAAAGGGAATTAGAAAGCTCAGCCTGCTGTCCAAAAGGCATAGTGTACTCCAAAACCCTAAAGAAGTGACTTTTAAAAGCATCCCTGGTTTTGGATTGTCCATGGGATAGCTTCCTACCATCATACAGCTTCCTGATCAGAGTATGAGACAACATATGTAAAGTGCTTTGCAAATCTATTGTGATTATTATTATTAATATTATTACTGTTATCATTATAACAGCATCAGTATCATAGGGGGAGGAATAATTTCTCAACTATCAAAAATGTTTGGGCAGAGTGAACAAGTTGTTTGACTATATTGCTTCTGTCACTTTGTCTCTAAAAACTAGATTTTACTGAACTTTTTTGTTGGAGTTTAGATCTTCCTTTCCCACCAAGGCCAAAAGTGCAAGATCTCCCATCCACACTTCTGATCAGGGCTGAAGCTTTGACCTACTGTTTCCAACCTGGCTGGGCTGGTTCACTTCTCCTTAGGAAATCTGGGAGTCTTCTGCCTCCTGGGGGTTCCCTAGCTTGGTGCCAGATGGTGTAGACACCTGGTTAACTTTAGCCCTACTATAGTTCAGAACTTCTAAACTCAAGCAATCCACTAGATTCAGCCTCCCCAGTCACTGGGGCCTGCAATACTATTCTGGGTTAGCTGAGCTTTCTTGGAAGCACCGTTTAGGAATCAAAGAGTTTCCATGCATAGCCTCCCATTCCTCTCCTCCTTATAACTCTTGCAAATTGCAAATAGTCAATCCTAACACCTAAAGTACTGTATTTGCTTGTGAGGCTGATGGACTTCTTATTCCTAATTTTCAAGTGGGAGTAGTCAGAAGATGACCAGAACAAATACGGCACATTCTGTCCGAACACCTAGGTGCTGCAAGTATATGCAGTTAGGATTGAAATCAGTATTCCCATCTCAAAAGCCTGTGTGCAACCAATCACATCTCTTGCTTGTTACAGTCTTAGCTGAGAATTTCATACCTAGATGCATTTAGCCATAGTATGTAAAAACCTTACAGCAAGAAAGGACTTTAAAGGCTACAAGTCCCTAACTTGGGGTCCAAGAACCATAGATTTCAGGAGGTCCATGATTTTTTAAAAATATTTTGATAACTGTATTTCAATAGAAATGGTTTCCTTTGTGATTTCATATATTTTATTTTATGTACTTAAAAACTTTAAAAGAAAAACATTATTCCAAGAAAGGGCTCATAGGCTTCACCAGATTGCCAAAGGGGGCCATTGGCACA